CTACGTCCCCTCGACAATCAAGAAGCTCCAGCAGCTAACAGACTCGGCAGGATCCAAAGCTCCCAAGGCACTCTGCCCCAGCCGCTGGGTTTTGTTTTCATTTTGGGTTTGAAAAATGTCAAGGTCATTTCACAAACCTTGGAAATCGAATCTCAATCCACTCGAAATTTTCTCCTTCTTCATATAAACCTCCTTGTCCTAAACCTCTCTCAGAGAATGCAAGCTATTATGCCTTATCAGATGTTTCCTTGTTTGAAAATCATGGCAATCACATTTAATTTTGTTAGAGTTTGTGTCCTGTGGTCACGCATAAGCTCCTAAACCAACAACAGTTAAAAACAAGGTGCATTCCTTAATTCCTAATTCCAGTCTACTTATGCAAGACATTATCCAACCCATCTGAAAGTGTTTTTCAAAACCTACAGTGATAAATGTGTCAGACACTCTGCTGGGTTCCTTACTTCCATAATCCTTAATCCTCTACCCAATCCCATTTTGCAGGTGAGGAAGGAATATGATAGACTCAGAGCTTAAGGAACCTGTCCCAGGTCACTCGGTGAGTATGTGACCCCATCCACATGGACACTTGGTCCAGCGTGGTTCTAAAGGCCAGCCACCAGCTGTCCACTCGCTACATGCTGCCTTGGCCTCCCCAAGGTGGGAGGTTTGCATCTGCCCTCCCCGTTTTTACTTAAGGAGGTATGCAGTGAACTTGGGGTCCTGAAGTACAGATCTTGGGTTCAGAAGGCCAGCACGGCAAGGTATCTTTGGGTGGGAGGGTCTTGGTGTTTAAACTATTTTACTTGAGTCACTTAAAACCTAATACAACTCAGAAAAAAAGGTCCCTGTCACCTCTACCCCTGGCTTCCATTTACCCCCTAAACACCAACGCACAAAGAAACAAAAGAAGAATCTGTTCACTTCGGTCTCACATATAAACATTAAAATGATGTCCTTTACACCAGGCATGATGGCTCACACGCACTTTGGGAGGCTGAAGTGGACAGATTACTTAAGGTCAGGAGTTGAAGACCAGCGTGGCCAGCATGGTGAAACCCCGTATCTACTAAAAATACAAAAAAATTAGCCAGGCACAGTGGTGCACATCTATAGAGCTAGCTACTCGGGTGGCTGAGACACAGGAATCACTTGAACCTGGGAGGTGGGGGTTACAGCGAGCAGAGATCACACCACTGCATTCCAGCCTGGGCGACTGAGAGACAGACAGAGCAAGCCGTCTCAAAAAAAGAAAGAAAAAGGTGTCCTTTACATGAGGATTAAAACCCTGAGGTTAAAGTTCCAATGTCAGTAAGACAACTTGATTAAAGAACTGTAACTGAAATACACTTTCTGTGGATGCTCTTTGTAAAGCAATTGTTTTTGAGCCTTTCCCGCAACCAGTGCCCAGCAGACTGCTAAGAGCGGCTAGAACGCACCCTCCGTGGAGACACTCAGAACCTCAGACTCCCCATTTCATCCCCCATACCCTGCACTTTTCCTTACTCATCAGTTCCTTCCAGCCAGGGTCCTCCTTGGCCCACATGACCTGAGACTCCTGGAAGCCATTACCTCATACCTCCCCACCATGCTAAGAGGTGTGTGGGAAGTCTGCGGAGATCTAGGGGTCCAGGGCTTATTATTTGTTCCCGGCAAAGCTTTTAGTCTCTCTGAGCCTCCATCTCCCAAATCGTGCCAAGCAGGCTGCATGCTGCTTCCTGAGGACCTGAGATGCAGAAGTGCTTTGCAGTGGAAAGTGCTAGACTAACATTAGGGGTTACATTGTCCTAACTGTTCTTTGCTAGACTCTGTCTGGCACTTTGTGACAGATTCAAGCTTACACCCCCCAGGGGCAACTACACTCCTGTGGCCATTTGCTGTAGGTGAAATTTTATATAGAGTTAATAGGTTTATAATGCCACCCAAAAGAACAGCCCAGGTTCTGTGAGGCGGCCTGATTTATGGCAATCACAAAAGCTACGTCCCTTGCAGACCACAGTTGGGAACCCCTTTGTGTTAGCTTCGTGCCTCAGTTTACCCAACTAGGAAATGGGCCAAAAACCTTTGGTGGTCTGGGAGCATGGCTACAGATTGGAAATCACTAAGGCAAAATCACCTGGCTGACATCTTGTCCACTTTAACACATATACACACTACCTATCAGCACCATAACCCAAATTCCCACTGAAGAAAACTACTAAGGCCCGCGGCTCAGCCAAAGAGGGCTCTGGAAGCCTAAGTTCCTTTTGCTCTGTGACCCCATCCAGCCCTTCCTAACACGGACAGCCAGGCCGACAGAGGTTTGAGCCCCACAGTAGTCTGGGAAGGTGGGTGGGTGGACTACAATTAGGCCATCCTGGCAGCTCCCTCTTCACTCCAGATACTATATTTATTTCCTGTGAGTGGGGCCAATCCTGATGTGGAGACATGGACAGTGAATGAGCTTTCTCCTGCCACCTTGGGCCTGCCCCGGGCCAAGACAGGAGCGCTCTCTGGCGTCTCTAGGCCCGCTCTTCCCTCCATTTGCCGCAGCTTTTCACCAAACACTAGTAGGGGACAAGGATCTATTCCTCCCTCAATTCTCCTGCCCCTGTCACTCACTATAGACCTCTTTCCAGATTAGGTAAATGCAGATTTTAAGAAAAATGAACAATTGTTTTTTACTGGGGGCCTGAGAACACCTGCAAAGACACACACAGGAGTTTATAAATAGTCTTGCAGAAGTCAAATTTCTCTGGGTGGGGCTGGGTGCTATGGTTCATGACTGTAATCCCAGCATTTTGGGAGGCTGAGGCCGGTAGATCATTTGAGGTCAGGAACCAGCCTAGCCAACATGGTAAAACCCCGTCTCTACTAAAAAGACAAAAAAAATTAGCCAGGTATGGTGGCTCATGACTGTAATCTCAGCCACTTGGGAGGATGAGAGAGGAGAATCACTTGAACCTGGGAAGTGGAGGTTGCAGTGAGCCAAGACTGCACCACTGCACTCCAGCCTGGGCAACAGACTGAGACTCTGTCTCAAAAAAATAAAAAATAAAAATAAATTCCCTGGGTAGAATGACACTGCCCACTCTGCCTTACGTTAGAATGTTCCAGATCTCCCTGCAGGCTCATTCCTCTCCAGTGGCACAGAGGACACCATCCAAGAACATGGACTATCGGGAAGCAGGAGGTACAAGGCAGGCAAGGTCCTCCCACCCTGGAAGTCTACGCAGGAGATATGTTAACAGCCATTGCAAAATTCATTTGAAATTCACATAAAGGCTTCTTTGAATATTTCTCACAAGAACTGCTAATGAAAACATTTCTAATTACGTTACAAGATTCACTTGGTCAAAGATGATGTCTCTTTATTTCTTACAAGCTATAGGTTGTTAAAAAATTTAACCTTTCAGAACCTTAATTTCCTCATCTGTAAAACGGTGAAGTTCTTGAAAGGTAAAATAAGATAATGTATATAAATCTTGAAGTATTGGGTCTGACACAGTATCAATCATAATATTTTTAAAAATGTAAAAAGCTGTGTTGAAGGATTCCCTTATGCCAGGTGCCATTCTTTGTAAGTTGGGGCCTTTAAAGACCACAGCCACCCTGGGAAGCAGATACTATGACCATTTCGATTTTAGTTACAGAAGGTGAGAGGTCAGAGGGGTTAGGTAACTGCCCCAAGGTCACAAAATGAAGCCTGGATAAGAACCAAAGCAATCTCGCCCCGAGGCAGACCCGGCCTCCAAAACACTGCCTCTCTCTATTGTCTAGGGACATCCCTCATTAAAAAGGCAGTAATGGGTGGTCACTCATATTTCTTAGGTATCATTTGGCCCACTGCCCCGCTACCTGCTAATGTGCACGCTGTGAAAAAACACACTGCTTCTTGTAAAATATGGTTACTTTTCAAGCGCTGTGTCCCAAAGCCAGGACGCACAACCTTTCTCTGGAGGGACCTTGCACCAAATACCCGAGGTAGCCCAAGAGAAAGAATAAGTCCCAGCAGCGATTGTCGGAGGCCAAGCTGAAAAGCTCTCTGAGCCTTAGCTTTAAGTCTCTAAAATGGAAAAACGAATAAAGTTGAAAGCCATTCCTGCTGGCCCTTAGTCTCTGCTTCCGTCCCCAGGTCGGCCTGGGGAAACATACAGAGGGCAGGCTCTTGTCTTCATCCCTGGCCCAGGCGCTTATGGGCACCCGGGTTGGGGGCGGGGGTGGGGTTCTCCAATCCTTCATAAACTGCCCACCACGCACTGGGTGCGTTCCCCATGTGCTCCCTTCTCCACCCAGCTGGTGCAGAGAGGAGATAGTCTGGGGAAGCAGAAGGAGGTGTCAGTGCCACCACCTGGAAGTGACCCCACCACCGGTGCGGTGCGCTCTTAGACAAGGCTGGCCTTGAGAGGGCATCATGCGCGGCCTTGGTCACTCCAGATGCCCAGGGAGAAACGCAGCGCAGCAGGAGCAGCGCCTGGTCCTGGCCAGTCCTAGGGCGCACAACTCAGAGATGCCAGAGCAGAGACGCTTGCCCTGGGGGAAGGGGCAGCTCGCTTGTGGAGGTGGGCAACTGGAGCAGCTGTGGAAGATCCAGGAAAGCGCTGGAGGAGCTGGCACGCCTGCTGCCTTAGGATTTTAGGGAGCGGGGTCAAGCTGGGCGGGCTAGGGGAGAGGGAGCTCCAGGACTCTCCTAGCTCCCACCTCTCTGTCATCAGCGGGAAGGACCTCTCCTCCCAGCAGCAGAGGGGAGTCAGGGACCCAGGCTGCCCCTCTCAACTGCAGTGGTACCTCCTCTTCCCCCGCCCAAGAATGCTACTCTCCAACCCTACCTAGACATAAGGTTTCCTTTTAAACCAGGACACCCATGGTGTGACTGTTACCCAGAGTTTCGTTTGTTTGTTTTGGTAGATCAGAGCCGCTCAATTTTTCCTCTGAGGTTGTGGACTACATAGATTCTTTTCTTGGCTCCAGATTGATGGTGGTGGGTGGGGAATGGGGGTACGAAATACAGAATGTGGCCCATCTACATTGCCATCACTTTATTGTACTGTGACCCTTAATTTAACTATAAATACTACGGTAGGGATGAGGCGCAGGCAGCCTGGAGCTGCTGGGCTGTGGGTCCCGGCGCGCCCCGACCCCAGGCGCCGACCCTCCCGGCTCTGTACACTATTTACAGCTCTTCGTTCCTCTTTCTCGACCCCCTCCCGCAAGGCAGCGAGTGTGCAATAAAGTAGCATCGTCTGTCTGTGCAAGTCCTTCGAGTTAGGCAAGTAACATGGGCAAGTGTCCCGCGGCCGTCAGCTGTCCGAGTCCAAATCGCTTTTACCTTCCTCTTCCCTCTTCTCCGGCGATGCCTTCGAGGACGACGTCTTGTTCCACTTCTCCACGTTCTCCGACTCCTCCGATGAAGACCGCTTCTGCCGCCTCCATTTGGCGCGGCGGTTCTTAAACCAGACCTGTTGCGCAACGGAGGACAAAACAGTTCAGATCAAAGGAGCGCTTCTCCCAGTCCCGGGGTACCCCAAGAGCGCGGTGTGGCGGCGGGACACCACACGCGGGCCAACAAAAGGAGGGGAGCCGCTCGCTCCCGCTTCCGCGTTTTCATTCAACTTCCTGGGCCTAAAGCGCCCTCCAGCAGCCTGCGGGCCGCCATCGGGACGTTTTTCTAAAGTGCGGGGAGAGCCAAGTACGGCTGGGCAAACCCATCTGGGGCCCCACCTCGCGGGGAATGGCTGCTAGGCACCCGCGGCAAGGCCCGGCGCCTACCTCCACTTTCTCCTCCCGGAGGTGTACTTTCCGGGCCAGCTGCTCGCGCGTGCCCACGTCCGGGTACTTGGTCTCCTGGAAGAGGTTCTCGAGCGCTTCGAGCTGCTCGTCAGTGAAGATGGTGCGGTGCCGCCGCTTCCGCCGGCAGTGCAGCTGGTTGAGAAGCTGCAACTCGGTGCGCGACAGCGTGCCCACGTTCATGTAGGGCAGCATCTGGTGCGGTACCGGGGACACCAGCACCGAGCCAGGGCCCTCATAGCCTGCGACAGAGTGGGGCGCACGGTCAGCCACCGCCCTCGCCACCGCCCGCCCGCCAGCCCGCGACCCTCTTCCACTTGGAAGTCGTCTGCAAGGGGGTGCTGGGAATTGGAGGTGCGCAGGAATCAGGGGTGCAGGGAAAAGAAGGGAGCACGTGAGAGCGCCTACCAGCACACCCCATAAAGCCAGTTAGATTATTTAAAAAAAAAAAAAAAAAAAAAAAAAAAAAAAAAAAAACCTGTCTCCCCGTGCAGGCCCTGAATTACAGTTTTCTCGAACTCTGGACAAAAGTTTGCAAGAAGTTTGCAAACTCCGGCGCCCGATTGGCAAAAAACGGAGCTGGGACTTTTAAGAGGAGCAACGTTTGAGGAAGGTGAATTAATCAACTGGCCCTGGGGGCTAAGGACCACAATGGGCAGCAGAGGCCGGAGCAAGCGCGACCCTACCTGGGGGCGTCGGGACGCAGGAGCACTGCTGGGCACCCAGGGGCGGCACGGCCCCACAGCAGGCCGGACCCACGGGCGCCGCCTGCACGTGCAGCTGCCCGTAGAAGTAGTTGTTGTAGCCGAGGCGGGAGCCGCCTACCGCGGCCTGGAGGCCAGCGCCGCCGGGGGCCACCGGGCGCGGGTAGAAGGCGCCATAGTCCGAGGAGGCGCCGCCGCTGGCGCCGTAGAGCGAGTCCCCGTGCAGGGCCGGGAAGACGACGGGAGCCGCCGCGCTGGGCGCCACTGGCAGCACCGAGTCCTTGCAGCGCGGCCGGGCGGCCAGGATGTTGTCGATGCTGAACATGCTGGCGGGCATCCCTGAGCCCCGCGCCGGGACCGGGGAACGGCGGGAATGCGCCGAGGACAGAGCCTAAAAGTGGGGTGGGGGGGTCCACTCTCCTCCAGCTGCCGACCAAATCGAAAGAGAGCGCCGGCGAGCGCGCAGCCCGGCGCCCCTCCCCGCCCCCCGCGTCCGCTCTCCCTCCTCCCGCCCTCCCCTAGCCACAGCGTTCGCTGAACTCAACCCGCGGGTAGGACGGAGCTCAGACCAGCTGAACTTCTTGTTGGTTTTATACTGAGTCGACGTCATCCTGGATTTAGTTCCTGGTAATATGCAGATGACAAACAGCCGCTCTTTTCCTTTGGGTGGGGGAAGGGGGTTGGGGGAGGGGAGAGGTGCCAAGGGGAGGGGGTTACAAGGCCTAAAAAGAGATTGTGGATTGCGAATTAATGAAATTAACGTAATCTTTTCCATTCCGCAGCCGGGCCGCGGACTAGCCGAGCTGGGCGGGCGGCCTAATTGCCTTGGTTAATCTCATTAATTCCATTGTGCCGGGGCAGTTAACAACTCCCTCTGCCCGACCTCTCCACCCCCACCCTTTTTCTCAGATTGGGTCCTATTATTGGGTGCGATTTCCTCTGCCTGTAGCTCAAATTCATTGTGGACGATTTTACTCTGGGGCTACTTTTTTCCCTCTTTCGAAATTGGTTTTGTTTTAGAAAATGTGAGGGGCTGCATCCCCTCTCAAGCAGGACTGAAAATTCCATCACTCCTCCGCGCCCCCACGTACTCACCGCCTAATTTCACCTCTTTTTTAAATCGTGAGTTTTTCTCCTGAATGGAACTTGTTAAGCCCCACAAAAACTTTTGTTTTTGCAAAAGCCAAATTTTGTAAAGGCAAAAACGACGAAAGGAGAGATGCAGCGTGCTTCTTAAAAAGAAAAAAAAAATTTTTCTTTTGCCGCCACTCTGGGTCTGAAAACTACCATAGCAGTCCCCAGGTCCTACACAGCGAAGACCAAATTCCGCCGCTCTTTCAAATTCGCCACCAAGAGTTTCAGTCTGAAGCGGTGCTTCCAGCTGCTCCCAGCGTGGGTGTCGGTAGGTTTTGGGCTTTTAAAAAATTATTTTTGGAAATACGGTGTCTTCTCTCCCAAACCATTTTTTTGGCTTTCAATCCAGATGGGGTCTTTGGGACTTCTCTATCTTCTTCCCCAATAATTGGGTCGCATTTTTCCATACGACGTGCTGGCTCCCGGATAGAGACAGACACCCTACTCGCTGCCTTGCCCTTACTCCTGGCAGCCCCAGAGTGGACTGCCTGGGCCCCAGTGGCGTGGACGACGGCCGGCTCTGATCGCGGCAGGCGGCCGCGGTGATTTGCGAGATTCTCGGCACCGCACTGCCAGCCTGCCGGAGCCACGGGAGGCGCAGCCAGCCCACCACTCACTGCAAGCAGGCGGCCAAGCGCCCTTCAGACGGTAGGCGAAGGTACACGCGGAACAAAAGCAGTCCCCCAGATCCTGCGGACCAGGTACAAGCCCGCGGTTTGCAACTCAGGCCACTCCCGGGGAAGGGGCAGGACCAGACCCAGGCGATACCGCCGAGAACCGGAGATGGAGATGGGGTTCGGGGAGAGACCTCGGGTTTCCTGAAGGAAGGCCACCTTTAACTCACACCTAGTTTTCGCGATTTCTCTCTGGCTAATTAACTACAGGACCCCGCAAAGTTGTCTTAAGTCGCCGCAGTTAAGGCTAAGTAAGTGGGCTGCCCACTCCCTGGCGCAGGGGCAAAGGGGAAAGGCCACTCGTCAATTGCTGTTCAGGTTTCAAAGAGCCACTGCGTGGAGGTTTAGTCCTGTCGGAGGGCACTTCTCTGGCTGCGCGCAGAAGCGGCCCGCTAGAGCCAGGCGGCGCTTCTCCTCCTAGGCCTCCCAGCGTGGACCTCTGTGTCCTCACGCTCACCGGCTTGTGGCCTGAGAGAGTTTCTCCTTCCAGTGCTGCTCAAGCTAGAGGTGGATGGAGGTGGGGATTAAGACAGGAAGGAGATGGGTCTCAATTTAGAGAAACGAATAGATTTTTCTAACAAAAACAAGGAGGGAGTGTGACCCTCCCCTTAGAGAGGTGAGGTCTAGGGTAAGAGGTGAGGCACCTTCCATCTCCCACTGACTAGGATGAAGGCTTTTTTGTTGTTCGGTTCTCAGAGACTTAAGTCACCATGCTCCAGGGCACAGACACTCCCCCACCAATCTTTCGCAGGTTTAAATCTACAGGGCAGTTGTTGGAAGACAACTAGAGGCTGCAACCTCAGCAGTGACTTTCCCTGCCTTTATGTTGGAGGCTGGGCGTGAGCTGAGGTATGCATGTGAGTGGATCTTTTAAGACCTTTGTCTGAGCTTGGCAGAGGCACAAGTGCCACGGGACGCTTGGGGCAGATTTCTGGTCCAGTTCTTGCAAAGATGCCCAAATCAGGATAGTGTCAATATTTCAACCGCAGACCTAGAAAAAAAAGTGTCTCCAGGTTTTTAAAAGTAATTAGACAACTACCTCCACACACGCCTCCGTCTCTCCTTCCACCTGGTACATTGTTCTCTTCAATAACCAGGTTTAGCAAACTCCTATACTGCACCTGTGCTTCCCTGCTGCCCTCCACTGTACCATCGGAGCCCTGTACAGAATCTGAGCGTCAGAGTTCTAGACCCAACCTTGCCACCTTGCAAATTATCCCTTCTCTGGAGGCCTCAAGATTTTAGTTGATCAAACCAACACCAACATTCATTGAGTCCCTTTGCAACCCCTTTTTAATGAGACTTGGTAATTGTCATCCGTTCACCAGGGAGGTTGGGGATGAACTTGGGGACATTTTCTTGTGCATTTTTCACTAAGACAAAGGAGTGTGCTGACCCCACCCCTGCCCCTAGACAAGGACAGGGTTCCTATTATCAGCTGGGTCTAAAATAAGGAAAAGCGAGTGCTCCCACAGAGGGGACTTCCCGGGAAGGGTGTCACAGGAACCCCAAGGCCACGTAGCTTTAGACATTCTGTCGGGGCTCTTGGGGAGCTCCCCCACCGCGTTGCCCCTTCAATCTGCAGCCGCTCCGCAGGGAGGCAAGCCCAGGGAAAGGCAGTCTGGGGTCCGTGCTCCCGCTGCGCCCTGGCCTTCGGGAACCCTTAAGTGTCCTCAACCTGCAAAACAAACCATCACCGCCCCGTTTCGCCGTCGTTGCCTGGCGCAATTGGAATAACAAATGCGATGCACGCAAATTGTCAGCCTTGTGTTGCTAAGCGATTGTTTGTCGGCCCCACACGCACGGCTCAGCATGGGAGGACCGCTAGCGTCCAGAGGTAGCCGGTGAGAGCTCTTAGGTCGGAGATGCAATAAACATGCCGCTGATTTTCCCTATTATCACCCAAACACGATTTCACACAAAGCAATCACCACGCAGAAGTCTATGAAAATGTGTTTGTGAAGGAGTCACTCGCCCCGGTAATAGCCCTCATTTTTAAGATATTCAAGAATAGATCAGCGGATTCCACATGCATAAGGTCTATTTGCCGTCCGGCATCTGTCACCCGCTTTTGCGCTGCGGTCATCACTAAATTGATTCGTAGAGTGTAGATTAAATTGCTTCTCTGATTTAAAACAGTGTCCAAGTTTGGAGTATGCGTGTGGGTATCTTCTCCTGCCCCAAGATATTGTTTGTTTCATGGAAAAAAACTGTCGCCCACATCCTTACACCCTACCCCACATAACTGTAAAAAATAATGCATTTGCGACCGCAACTTCTTACGATTCGTTTCAGGAACTTCTTAATTCTGTCTGTCTCCTGCCCGGTTACAGAGTTCACAATCGGATGTGTTTAGATAGGATTTTTCATGTCATGTGCAAAAAGCCCGTGTGTCCTTTTCGAAGGTATGGGGCCCTCCTCGGAGAGCTCATTAGCAGGGTCGGAGGAATTAGGAGCAACGCGCTGAGCCCCCTGCAGCCCGCGTGCTGCGCGGAGACCCCAGCCGTCCTCACTGCGCGGAATGGTTGTGTTGTTTGTATTTGGACGTTTTAAAAATCCAGTCTCAAAGCTAAGTGTTCAAACACGGCTCCACAGCCCTGCTGCTTTCCCGAGGACGTCTCCGGTAGCCCCAGGGGATTTTCCGTGTGAGGCTGGGTGGGTGGAGTAGAGCCAGAGGCGTGAATGCCTCCGGGCTAAGGGGCAGCAAGCACTAGAGTTGGGTCTTCTGCCTTCGGAGTGGTGGGGCGTAAGGGATGCTTTCTAGCTGATTTTTTGCTAGAAGTTTTGCAACGCTCCAAATAAAAGCACCCGAGCCCCTAAGGAAGAAATAGTCAAAGTGTTAGGAAAGCTCAACAAAACCTTGGAAGAGAAGAAGGGGCTGTCGGAAAGTGACGTGTCCCAAGGCCTTAGAAAAAAAATATATAGTGCTTGGGCTTTCTGGGGTTGCAGAAATCCGATTTCAGCCGGGCTATTTACCAAAGTTTGTTTCAAAGCGACTGCACCGTTTCTTTTGCAAATCACAGAATGCAAATGACGATAATTTGTTCTCAGAAGAACTTTCTCTTGAAATGATTAGCAAAGTCAGTCATTTGAAAATTAGAACGAAGCCCTTCGCTAACCGATATCTGCTTCTAAAGTTTTCATTCATGTAAACCTCATTAATGAAGATCTTTTATTTAAACGTCAAGGGGATTTGAAATTTAGAGTAAATTATGAAGCTTGTATGTCTAGCCAAGTCATGGGTCAAATGCATTTGTGAAAAACTGCTAAAGAGCATATGGTTTTGAATTTTTCTACAATGACTAGTGTTTAAATAAATTGCTTGTACTGCTTAACTTCATGTGTAATTTTGACAGAAATTGGCCTATAGCCTTTTGATATGTAAACATTTCAGCCTTTTATGCGGTATAAAAAAGACACTTGCTTTTTAGGATCAGCCCAGGCAGTCACCCTGTAATTCAGAAAGCTGGTACCTACCATTACATTCTTGCTAGATTTCAACTTTCAAGTGGCAGCCTCAGGGGGAGAAAAAAGCAAAGAAAGAAAGAGGATATTTCAAAAGCAATGTCCATTTGGGATTAAAAGCTACAAATGAGGTGAGAACGTGCCACTTACTATCTGAAAGAAATGGATAAACCATAGTTATTAAAGAACATTTCTGTCAGTTTTCTTTAAGCCAGCCCGTCTGAGGGGACACTTAAGCGGAGCTGGGGACTGACTAGCATGCCATTAAATGCTTGTCTTAGGGCCGAGCTAATCAGTCCAACACACAAATAGGTGTTAAAAATCTAGGTATCATTTCAGAATGTTATCAGGGAAATCACTCGCTCTGTGTCACAGAAGCCATTAAGATGCAAAAATCATCCAGGGCACAGAATGGCTGGACGCAAATGGCTCATCTGAGCCATGCGGGAGGGTCTTTCTCGGTGGGAGCTGCAAGGTCCGTGAAGGGCACTGTTCAGAGTCCTCTCTGGGCTGCCAGGGTTTGTGAAACACATACATATCTGCGTCAACCCATTTGTTGCTAATATATCTGTCTCCCAGAAATAAGCCATAGAATGTGGACTGGACTGTATGTCACCAGCAGGGATTCAAAGTGCCCCTAAGGTTGCCCTCCCAAGTGCGAGACCCTGGCTACACATCTAGTGCTGTGGTGGGGCAGGCACTGCCCCTTCCCATCTGCTCTCATAGCCTTGCCGTATTTATCCTCCATGTCAGTTCTGTCATGCACAGACTTTTCGAGAGACACCGCCTCTTCTGTGAAGTTTTGAAGGAACTGGGGAGAAAGAATGCTCACTTGACAAGGGAGACCAGTTCCTTTGTAAACAGTCGAGCCGACTGAGCAAATTGAGATCCTCTTCATAAAAGAGATCGTTCTGGGATAAAATC